AGAAACGTTCCAATCCCTTAAAAATCTAGACCACATAAACCATACCACCTCACAATGCAAAAACATATGAGGAATTGACTCCTCGCACTTCCCACACAAAGGACATAAAGGATGATCAATCCCAGTGACGCCTCTCTTCAATAGCTCCTTCTTAACAGCTACTCTTTGGTGAGCAACTTGCCAAACAAAAGCTTCTACACGTGGAGGAGCAATCCCTGCCCATACATGCCTATCCCAACTACTCTCTTCTCCTTTATTGCCCTGCTGATCATAAAATTTTGAGATGCATGATTTAGCTGAAAAGCAGCCCTCTCCATTGCCAAGCCAAATCCAACAATCTTCCTCCATTAAAGAAAATTTTGAGCTGTTCAACAAGGAAATAAGTTGCAACCACAACTCCACCTCCCAATCCACCAAATTCCTTCTCATTTGAATATCCCAAACCCAACCGGAATTACCGTGCATCCTGAATTCAGCCACCTTGCCCCTTTTATTATTCGATAAAGCAAAAAGTCTCGGAAACATCTCCTTCAAAGAAACCCCACCCAGCCATATATCATTCCAAAACTCCACAGATTCCCCATTTCCAGCTCTTAAACACATATTATTCCTTAAACAATCCCCAAAATCATCAGAAGAAAAGAAATTATTAACCACACCTCTCCATATCCAAGAAGCTCTAGCTAAACAATTGTTCCCAATCATCATAGAGTTCGAATCCAAATTATTCACACTACACAAAACTTCCTTCCACCATGATTTCTTCTCCGATGCGAATTTCCAAACCCATTTCCCCAATAAAGCCTTGTTCAAAAGCATCAAATTCGGAATCCCTAAGCCTCCCAATTTCTTTGGTTAACATACCAACTTCCAATTCAACCAGTGAATGTTATTATTGCCTGCCGAGTTTCCCCATAGAAAAGCTGCCATAATCGAATTTAGCTTGTTGAAAACGCATAATGGAATCCAAAAAATAGATAAAAAGTATATGGGGAGAGAGCACAGAACAAATTTCACTAAAACAACCCTTCCAGCCAACGATAATGATTTAGCCTTCCAGCCGGCTAAAGCCTTGTAAAATTTCTGCACAGCAGGCTCCCATAGAGCAGACGAGTTCCTCTTGGCCCCCAGCGGCAACCCATGGTATTCCGATGAAAAAGAACCCTTAGAACATCCAATTTCGTTTGCCCAATCTTCTAAAACCTCCTCCTCCACATTAACTCCAAAAATTCTGCTCTTTGTTAAGTTTAATTTCAACCCCACCAATAATTCAAAAATCAGCAAAACCCTTCTAACATGCAACAAATCACGAATTGTTGCCTTGCTGAAAATAATCAGATCATCCGCGAATTGTAAATGAGTTAACTTAAATGATCGATAACTATTCTTTCTATTCCTTGAGCATCGCCTGCACTTTTATGCTCCCTCTACCAGCCCCTCTCTCCTTTTGGTTCTCTTTCTTCCAAGAAACAGAAAAATAGATAAATAACATGTAAAAGAAATCCTAAATGCCCATAAAACATGATAAACACCGCAATTTTACCTTTAAATTTTTTTAAATGCCAACAGAATCCAAGGGCTTACTAAGCAAGATATTGTACTTCATTATATTAAGCAATGATCTTGTGTTCTATAAGCATTTTTCCTTACAAGGAGGCTTGACCGTTTGAGGTTGGTTTTGGCATCATGATCTGGGTGTAATGCTAAAAAGATGAAATAAAAAGCTACGCAGGCATTAGATAAACTCAGCGCACCGTAAGGAGACTGAAATATTTTTTTACTTCTGGAGAAATAAAAAATATATTAGCAACTCATTTAGCAAAACATTAGGGATTTACGCTGTAAATACTTATTGTAATATTTACCTTTCCTCATTTGTATATATGATTACTAGTATAGTCAGGGTTTTAAAAAGAGGTCCGCGACCGAGATAGCACCCACGAAATAGCGGTAGCGCTGCCTTCTAATATACCCGCTATGGCTGCAATCGCGGTAAACGCGGCATGACCGAAAACGCGACCGCGGCCGCAATTTGAATCCCTGAGTATATTATAAAATTAGATTTAGTTTTGAAGATTAACCAAGCTGAATTATTCAAAACCTATTTATCTTCTTCTTTCTCCTCTTTCTCTCGCATGAAAATAGCACGGTTTTCTTCTTTTATTTTCTTCTAACTTATAAATTCCTCTATATTAAACATTAATTTCATCAGGTTAAACAAAGTTTTTCATGAGCAGACCAGCAGTCTTTATCTTATAGATATATGATATTACTAAAGAACCAAAACTAACTTGTTTTGACAGCTTCTGTAAGCATTAAAACAATTCTTAAAAACCAAAGGTTGATTAGTCAGTTAAATATCCTATTACCTCACACCAAAAAATATATAAACAAATGTTACTATATAACCTCTAGATTAATTTACCAAGTCTGTTAGTTCTTTCTCATATTTATTTCCCTAGCACTCAATCAGGTTTCTATCTGAAAGCTTTCTTTTTCTTCCACCACCTGAATCATCTACCTTGCAACAATCTTCCTAGAATAAAGGAAATTAATAGTCCATAACTGCAATAACTCTTTTCAGATCTAAAAGATTTTATTTTACATCAAAAACCAAAAAACAATAGCATTAATTTAACTGTATTGGCATGTGAATTCAAGCATCCAAAAGAAAACAAAAAAATGTATGTATTATTTACCAGTAGAAACTGTAAACAAATTGTATAAGTGATAAAATTAAACATATGAACACAAGACAGAAAATTAAATAGATTCATGATGCATGAATAAGAACAAACCTCGAGCTTAAATGATATGAGCATGGACAGTGATCAAAATTTTTAAGATCTCCTCCATAGTGACAGACACTACATATAGTATCACGCAGTCTAGAACCACAACGTTTTCGCTTCCTCTTGCGCCTCCGAGAACGAGACACTATGTCTTTAAACCTAACCTTTTTTCCACAATTATCAACTGGAAGACTCAAACAATGATGAGCATCAACTAAATCATCCTCTATGTTTATGACATCTATGCCTTTCTCCTCTTTCTTGGGGTTGGCTTCAGCTTTTGAATCAGCTTGCTTAGGTTTCTTTGAAAACCTTCTCATCACTGAACCATTTTTATAAACAAGGAAAGAAGCATTTTTATTCCCCTTCTTTAACCTCGATAGATTTTTAACCCTTGAATTTGGTCGCTTTTGAAACCCTTTTCCTCATTAATGAAGATCTTCTCTTCTTAGGAATAAGAGAGAAGAATGCCGGCCAGGTACCCTGCATTTTGCTATAGTCAGAACAAATGACAGCATGATTACCAGAAATCTGCCCATGCTTAGTGGAAGTCTTGTAAACTGACTGATTTTCTTGAACATTAGAGACAGAAAAAGAAAGAGAAAATCGCCTCAGTGACCAAAAATACCTTATAATATACGATTTTAACCAATTTTTTTTGGATTTGCCAAAATGACCAATAAAATCGCAACGCGATATCAAAATCGCAACGCGATTTAGAAAATCGCAACGTAAAAAAGAAAATCGCAACGGTCAAAAGAAAATCGCAACGCGAGCTTCCAAGTTCGCAACGTGATTTAGAAGAAAATCGCAATGCGATTGATTTATAGAATCGCAATGCGATTGAGAGAGTCGCAACGCGATTTAGAAAATCGTTTGTTTCTTAAGAATTTTCTCTAAAAAGATAGTATCCGCGCGGACGTGTCGAAGATACGTATTACCACGACCACGACCACGACCCGACCCGACCCGAGACGAGACGGCGGCGGCGGCGCGCGAGAGTCCCCCTTGTCCTCTTTCACTCAACAAGGAAGTGCAAAATACAAGCCTTAAATACCATTCCCAATAGTATTTCCAATACTATGTGGGATTGAGCATTACCAACACTTGTTCCAAATATCATTATTCTTCATAAGTTATCATCCATTACAATATGAATTAGTCGTGTTAATGAACCAATATACCTCATTAATATATGGTATTGTTGAACAAAAGAATGATGATGATGATCTTATTAAAGACCATCTAATACGAAAGAATCCAATGCATAACCGATACCTTATTGTGAAACTAATTCACATAGAGGTTGTACGTGAAAAAAAATCTTTTACTTTTATAGTAAATATCTATCTCAATAATTTTAATATAAAATATATTTTTTATTTAATAATAGAATTATTTCATGTATTTATCAAGTTATAATTTTAAATACTTATTAAAATGAATTAATTTATTATCGATAATTCATATTGTAATGAATGATAACTTATGAAGAATAATGATATTGGGAACAAGTGTTGGTAATGCTCAATCCCACATAGTATTGGAAACACTATTGGGAATTATATTTAAGGCTTGTATTTTGCACTTCCTTGTTGAGTGAAAGAGGACAAGGGGGACTCTCGCGCGCCGCCGCCGCCGCCGTCTCGGGTCGGGTCGGGTCGTGGTCGTGGTCGTGGTCGTGGTCGTGGTCATACGTGTCTTCGACACGTCCGCGCGGATACTATCTTTTTAGAGAAAATTCTTAAGAAACAAAATTTTTTTAACTATTCTTTTGACCGTTGCGATTTTCTTTTTAACGTTGCGATTTTCTAAATCGCGTTGCGATTCTATAAATCGCATTGCGATTCTCTCAGTCGCATTGCGATTCTCTCAGTCGCATTGCGATTCTCTCAGTCGCATTGCGATTTTCTTCTAAATCGCATTGCGATTCTCTCAATCGCATTGCGATTCTATAAATCGCATTGCGATTCTATCAATCGCATTGCGATTTTCTTCTAAATCGCGTTGCGAACTTGAAAACTCGCGTTGCGATTTTCTTTTGACCGTTGCGATTTTCTTTTTAACATTGCGATTTTCTAAATCGCGTTGCGATTTTGATATCGCGTTGCGATTTTATTGGTCATTTTGGCAAATCCAAAAAAGTTGGTTAAAATCGTATATTATAAGGTATTTTTGGTCGCGATTTTCTCAAAAAGAAATGGCTTTACTTCCTCTTGAGCTGTCAACAGATAGTCTATTACTCTCATTTTCACCAGGTATAAGAGACTTTTGCTTGTCTATTTCACAATCAAGTTTACCAGATTCCATCAATTGATTTTCCTCACATGATTTATCTGCCTGAAATTTTTTACTGGAAGATGTATTCATATTAGATAGCTCCTCATGTTTCGATTTCGACATTACATATTGTTTCCTTCTTTTGTGCTTACTAAGAGGACCTTTTCCCTCTCCTTTTTGATATAATCTAGCATCCTTGAAATCAATGCAGCTTTCTGCTTGTGCAAAAGTGTCAGATAAATGGGAAGTCTCCTTCCCAGGATCCTTAGATTTTTTACTTTTCTTTCGCACCGTCCATGCCAAGATTTTGTGATTAGCAAGATTTCGCCAGCTTGACCCAACTGCAATCTCCTGAACAACTTCCATGAAGTACTTCCTCCAAACAGTCCGAATGCTACAAGTCTACTCAGATATCATCTTTTCAAACCCATAATTTAGGCGTAAGGAGAACCAAACTTTCTTTACAGAACAAGCCAAGGGAACAGTACCTTCAAGCTCCTTAGCTAATTCCACCAATATCCATGTACCTCGGTCTCTCCAAATGCCCAGAAACTCATCCCAATCATGAGCCACACGTAATTGACTCACACCAAACTTGCACTCATCATCCTCATCAGGAAAATACACAGCCCGCTCAGATGCGTTATCATCATTATCCAATATAACCCCTTCCCACCATGCATCTTCAAAAAATGCATCAACACAAACCCCAAAACCCAAGTTTTTATTAGAATGAGGTTGGGATGAGGGAGGAAGAGGTCGTATGTGTCCTCGATAGGTTGATGGAACATGGCGACGGCTATGAAGACCTTCAATTGCCTCCGTCACAGGGATGGACTCAATGAGCATTGAATCACCTGATTCACATAAGTGTTCATCATATTCAATAGATCTGAATAAATGTGAAACACCAACAACCACCCCAGGGTGCCAAGATCCTCGCAACCCTTCCTCAAATTGGCGAACCTAAAAACAGTCCACAATGAAACTTGTATGAATACAGCAGGAAATCAAATAGATGCAACGTTGTGACAAAAGAATGTAATAATTATTTCAATACGTGAACTTTTACAGATAGCCTGTTGTTTAAAATAAGGGGAAGATTGCTTGCATCAGGACCTTCTCCATCTCCTGCTTATATTGGGACCTTGGGTACGACCTTCTCTTTCAAAGGAAAGTTCCAAAAGAAAAAAATTTAGCTTGAAAACTGTGAAGAACTTGGAGAACCAAGCTAACAACAAGTTTGATTTTAAATTTGAGTTTTTCGAATTCACTTTATTCAAAGTAATTAAATACTTTTCCCACGGCATTGACCAACTGTACTCAAGATATCCATAGTTCAAAAGATTTTATAATTTTTATTTATAAAAGAGAAATAAACTCTTATTTATGTTTACGAATCAGGTCCCAGTATCATACCCAAAAGGAAATTGATGCGAATAAAATCTTATCTAACAAGAAAATTACAATTAAATTTGGAATTACTAATTTTCCCAGAGAAAATACGCTACCGCGTGGTTATTCAGAAAATGCGGGAAAATCAATTAAAATTTGAAACCTTAATTGCTTCAAAAATCAAACGAAAGCAATGAAAGAAGAAACTCTTATACTTCGATCAAGGGATCAAATAAAATACATTTAATATATTTCGCTAAGAAACAAAAATTTTCGAAACAAACAACAGTTACGTTTCCTGTTTGGCTTCCGGGAAAATGCAGGATGAATAGAAAGAAATTGCCAACCCAAAGGTGGATCAGAAATATTTGGAAAACAATAAAATAAAACTAATCTCGACTTTGAACCAAATTTCTCTCGATTACATTCGCTACGAAACCAAACAGAATAATAAGAGGTGCAAAGAGAGGGGGAAACAACACCAACAAATAAAGAAAATTTAAAAAAAAATTACACTAGGAAAATCAAAAGGAAGTAGGCATTACCTCGACTCTTTCATTCAGAAGAAGCTTCCGCTGGCTCATGAATTCAATTTTTTTTCCAGTTGTGAAGAGACTGGATCTTGCTTTAACGGGGAGAAACTGTGGACTTTCTATTTTACCAATATTGAGCGGTAGGGTAATTGGATTCCGCATCGTGGAGGGAAATATTCTGGTGCTACCACTTCTACATTTTAATAGTCGGTCGGACTAGAGAGATTTTTTTTAAGTACGTTTGATGTGGCTCGTTCGATCTAAGCCGTTGACTTCCCACGGTCTCTTAGCTTTGCCGCAAAATGTGGTAATAGTTTGGTCTTTCAGTCTCGATCACGTTCTCTTTTTTCTATAATAATTAAATAAATAGGGATGAAATAAACTCGTGTATAGTTAGAAAGTCGTACATAATTAATTAATTGCGTATAAAATTATTTTTAGTTACCAGAATTTGATTTGCATATATTGATGCAAAAGTTTTTTAACCATTTTAATACGGAGAGTATTTAAGGATGGATCACGAATTTGTAAAATTTTAAAAGAAGATAATTAATTAAATTTTAAAAGATTGAAATATATTATTAATAGAAAATATATAAAAAAATTTGAAATAAAAAATAATTTAAAATTTTCAAAATACATTTGCCACTCGTTCACCTCAATCTATTTGTGTGCATAATTAGTAGTAGTGGATCCATAAATATTTTTCAGAGTGAGTACACATATGTTAATAACATAAAATTTTTATAGGATATGACTAATAAAATGTTAGAATATATATCATCTGTAAAATAAGTAAATAATCGAAGAAAACTCAGACTTCAGAGTGAGTAAAAAAATTTCAAAATAGATACCGTCAATAAAATAAATAACTAATCGAAGAAAATCCGAATGTAAAAATTAGCTCACCAAGTTGTGACTCTGCCACCAATGATTAGCATGAAAATCCATGCATCCATGCATATGTTATTTGGTTTCTTCTTGGTTGCCTCGGGGCCAGATACCAAGCCAGTGGGGGCAGGCAGGGGCATTTGCCTTAGTCCCCTCGACAGATTCTCTTCAAAGATTATGAATTTGGAGCCAGTAGAGGCAGGCAGGGATATTAGTCTTAGTTCCCTTGGTAGGTTCTCTTATGAATATGAGTTGTTATATTTATTATATTTATAAGGTGAATATATATTACCAAATGATTAAGAAAATTTTAAATAGATACTACTTTATAAATTATATAATCAACCTAAATTATTAAAAAAATTGGTCACTACTTAACAATAATACTGCAGAGAACAATCTCCTCTTCGATAGATTCCAAAGTGACCATTTTGATAGCTATATTTATAGAGATGCATATTTATACTATTAATAATCATACTCCTTAAAGGAAAAAGATTAATTATTAAATTATTTAAAAGTGATAAAAAATTAAATTACAAACTATAAATTAATTAAACATGTCTAAAAAAATCCATGGAAATGTTTCCATTAAGAACTAATAGAATGACACTTAATGAAAACTTTGATAAAAAGCTTATAGGTTAAAGAGAAAAGTTATCCAAAATTAACGGCCTAACATCATACAAGCTATAAGAGCTTACATAGATAACTAAACTAATCGCCATGACTTTCAGCCAGCATTAACTGAAACAGACAAAGAATACCTGGCCTATAAATGAGGCAATCGTCACCTGAAAGGAAAGCACCCCTAAGCAAAGGCATACGCGATCGTCTCCACCACTTTGGGTCGCCGCATTGATTTCTGGACACACAACAACCCCTCCTTGTCCTTTGAGAAAGTTGTGAGCACTTCTCATTGCGTAGACCTTAAAATACTCTCGAGCTCATTGATGGTCTCAACGTTGTCTCGGACAATAAATATCCCTTCGGGCCTTAGAATTCGATCGACCTCCGCAACCACGGACACTATATTGCACCTACAAGTTCCAAAATTAAATCGAAACAAATATATACTCTTATAGTTCAATCCGACTCTGTTCATGTTAATGGAATCAGAAAAAAGAAAACGCTCATACGTACCTCTTTTTAAGCTTGGAGAATAGGTGGTCAGCGTGGAGAAGATCATAGGACCTCGGATAGGTGCTGAATGATTCACACCAATTATGATACATACCAAATAGACCTCTCTCGTATATTATAGGAAGGGTATCAGGAGAGCGAATTGGGACTATATTCATTACCCACAAATTCAGATCTTTGAGTGCCGCAGCAAATCTATGAGCATGTCAGAATCAAGGAAATGAATATTCAACGTTAATAAAAAAGACAAACTACGTATTTAGTCACCTATCTATTCTTATGATTTTGTTTTGGTCACTCAATTATTATTATTTTTAAATCATACCTAATGTTATGTTTTGGTTCCGTTTTGACCACCAGACGTTAAAAAAGTAAACATAATTGTTGACATGATAAATTTTATTTATTTCTTCAACTTTAACGTGATATTATCTTACGATGACACATCAGCATCACCATTAATCTTTTAACAGCAGGTGATCCAAACAGAATTAAAACGTAACGTTAGATATTATTTGAAAATAAATAGTTAAATGACCAAAATAGAACCGCAAGAATAGATGGATGACCAAATATGTAATTTACCCTAAAAAAAGTAAACCTTTGTATTTACTTTCTTACCCTCCATAAACAGCTTTCATGTCCATGACATTTCTAATAGATAACCAGTTTATTCCCACATTCTTTCTGTATGATTGAACCATTCGTTTCCAGTGTTCATAATCTGAAACAAAATCCTCAGGTACTGCTTTGCCATAAACTCCAACATGGGAACTCAACAACCAATAAGGTGATTTTTCCAACCTTGCCGGCCATTGCTCGGGCCACTTAGACCCACGTTTTGATGCATCTACAGGCACTTTGTGCATGCATGTTTTCAGTGACACGTTCCTATAAAATTTAAGAATTTAATTCAGTAGCTAACTCAGAGAATGCAACTTAGGGTCAGTTTGTTTCACTGCATAGAAAATATTTTATGGTGTTTGAAAGATATTATGTAAACTATTTTTCACTAGTTGATAAATTTTTAAAAAATTATTTCTTGCAAATATAAAATATAATAAAAAATATTATTTATTATAAAAAAATTAATATTATTATTTTAAAAATATAAGAATAATTTATTTAATACTATTTATGGCAATATTATTATTAAAATATTATTTCTATAATTTTATAAATAAAAATATTAACTCTAGTATATTCTATTTTAAAATTATTAATAAATATATTTAAGGAATTTTTATAATATTATTAGACTATTATATTAATATTAAATACATAAATAAAAGTATTCACTATTAAAAATTCAATAATATTATTTTAAGAAATTAATAAATAATACTTTAATTAATAATTTATATATTATTAAAATAAGAATATATAGTATCATATATTTTATATATAATTGAGTATATTATTGTAATAATACTATTATTATATTATATTATTAAAATATTAATAAATATATTTTAAATATGTTAATAATTAATATTTTTATTAAAATGATACTAAAATATCATATTATTATTACATTTATAAAATAATATTGTTTTGAGTATTTTAAGTAAAAAGTTTGAAAAATGACTTACGAAAAATTAAACCGTAAGTCATTTGAAATTATGTTGATCAGGAAAATGTTTTACATTGACTAATCTGTTTTCTCCAACCAAACACTGAAAAGTAAGGAAAATGTTTTCCGAAAAATGTTTTACGTAAAACAAACGGATCCTTAGCATCTTGTTAAGCCACTTGGGGCGGAACTAAAAATTTATTATAACAGGGTTAAAATAATTTTTTATAAATATATATTTTTAATTTGATGAGTCTGATAAATTTTTCTTTATTTAGTTTTTAAAAATATATATTTTTCTATATTGATTAATATTTAAAAATATAATTGATGGGGCCAAGGGTCCCCTTGCCCTCCCTTGGTTTCGCCCATGGCCAGTCGATGGATCTTTTGTCATTTGAACAAGAAGCGTTAGATTTGTCTTTTAGCCAGAGTTTTGGTTTTATAGCAGAGTTAATAAGAAATATTACCAGGCTGCATTTGGATCATCAGAGTTGGGACAGAGTGGAGGCTCTTGTTTTGACTTCCATTATAGCAGTCGTTAGAATCAGGCTTCTTAAATATTGCTACAGCTACCCTATTTATTCGATGCTTCCTAGTTTTGTTCACAAGCTGCCAGCACATAGCTTTCGTTAGTTCAACCATTGCTGATGAAAATCCACACAAGTTGCAGCAGGTGTTAAGACATAATACACATAGATGGTACGATAGGATCATGTACCTTTCCAGATTTCAGCATCTTCATGACCTTTCTGATAAACAGGAGTCGCAGACCACACAAAGAAACCACCAGGTCGAAGCAAACGGTTGAGCTCCAAGAGGAGTTTACCGCCTGCATGTTGTTAAGACCGATGAATATTCAAGCATGGACAATTTATAAAAGGCAGTTCTAGCAACTGATTACTGAGTCCAACACGTATCATAGTTAAACTTTTATCAAATGAGGCTGTTTTATACCTTCTATGTGCCATGGCACTCTACATCGTGCACAATGAACAATATCAAATACTCCGCCAGAGTAGGGAAGTTTCTTAGTACCCATCACAGCGGACACAGCAGGAATTCCCCTTTCAAGTGCAAATTGCACTTGAGTTTCATGTTCATCTTTAGGTGCAAATGACATAGCAAGCACATTTCTGTCGAAAAGAAAACCTCCAAAGCTGGCAACCCCACATCCAACATCCAGTATCACACGAGAGCGTTTTCCCCAGGCTATATCGGGAGCAGACTACGGAATAATAATCAAACATTAAGCACAAGTTGAAAGAACAAATTGCAGGAAAAGAATGACCCTGCATTAAAGTCATACTGCTTACTGCCATCATTGTTCAGATGCAACATGGAATGCCATGGTTCTTTTTAATCATATCAAATATTTGTAAATAGATGTGCAATAAAACTACTAGAGCTGTAAAAAAGCAAAACTTACAAAAATGGCACTTTTCGTTACCATTCATGAAAATTAAACAAACATGTTTATAAACATGACATAAAAA